TCTTTCCCTGGCGCTCTCCCCACTTCAGGCCTGGAGTTTGCCTAGCAGCAGCTCTTAGTAGAGGCCTCTGGGTCTCTCACTGGTCAGGGGCCGGCACGTTCACTGTCCCCTTGACTGTTTACCCACCCCCAGGAGTGGCAAAGCCCTCTTCCCTCAGAGGCTCAGCTCCCTGTGTCTCCTGCTTGCTTCCCGCTAGTCCCAGCTGTCACTCACTAGTTGTGTGACTTTGGGTGAATTGCTCACGGTCTCTGGGCTCCAGGTGAACTTACATCGTAGGTGGACTCTGGGGCCCCCTTCAGGTCTAGCTGCCCAGTGCCGGTTCTGGGAGCCTGAGCCTCAGGCTTGGGGAGGAGAAGGTGGCCAGGCCACAATTCGATTCGGGCTTTCAGGCTCCTGGGTATCCCTGTCTCCCAGGCTTTTCCTCCTGGGTTGCTTCCTCGCCCGCCCGCGTAGGCGGCTGCCGGAACTTATGAGTAATGGGCGAGACTGATTGCAATGTACTTTGACTCTCAAATAAAGACAGTGGCATGCGAAGCTGTGGGAAACTGGCATTGGCAGGGCCGCTCAGGTCGGCAGGTGGGCACCAAAGCTCCTCCCTCAGGAACTGGTCTCCCCGGATTCCAAGGCCCCCTAGAACAGGGGTGGGCAAACTTTTTGACTGGAGGGCCACAATGGGTTCTTAAACTGGACCGGAGGGCCGGAACAAAAGCATGGATGGAGTGTGTGTGTGAACTAATATAAATTCAAAGTAAACATCATTACATAAAAGGGTACGGTCTTTTTTTTTTTTTTTAGTTTTATTCATTTCAAACAGGCCGGTTCCGGCCTGCGGGCCGGAGTTTGCCCACGGCTGCCCTAGAATCTCCTGCCTCCATCCCAGCTGGGGACGGTGAAGCTGGGGTTGGGTGGCTTTAAATTCTGGGTTCCTGGCTGCTGGTGGGAGGATTTGGTCCCTGTGGCCCCTGGCTGGCTGCTTCCCAACCTGCTGCTCCCTCACTTGGGGAAGGAAATGAGTCAGGGAAGTAGCATTTGGGAAGGAACTTTGCCAAGGCCGTCTGCTGGCCCCCAGACAGAGAAATGCTCTCGGGGCACCAGGCCAGCCCCCAGGGAGGGGGGTCCCGGCGGAGACTGGCACTGACCCACCGGGAGGCAGGAGCCTGGGCCCTGTCCACCCCACCCTGGTGGGACTGTCCCGGCCGCAGGTGGAGCCGGATCCCGGGGGAGGGTTGAGACTTGGGTGCGCCCCTGCGGGTGGCTGGGCCTCTCCCCTCCCCCACCTGGGGCTAGTTCTCGCCAGGGGCGGCGCTGGGGGAGAGGGATAATTGAGGCTTAACCTTCGATTGGCTTTCTCCTCCTAACTGGATATTCAGGTTTCCAGTGCACCGGCTCCCAGGACCCAGCTAGTCTGTCACTTCCATGCAGCCCCTTCCCCTCCGTTCTGTAAGCAAGGAGATGATTGGGGTGCGGGTGGGGGGTGGGGTGGCTGCAGGGCTGAAAGCAGATTTTTCATGTTTCAGGTGATCTGGACACGTGTCCTATCCCTGAGGCGGGGTGTCATGCTGGAGTCCTACAGGGTACAGAGGAAGGATCCTAGAACCTGGGGTTCAGGGTGGGGACTCTGGAGCTAGACTGCCCAGGTTCCTGCCCCGGTGTCAGCCCATGGGAGCTGGAGCCGGTCCCTTGCCAGCCGAGGGTCTGTGTCGTGAACATGAAATGATAATCCTGGAACACAGTGATGCTCAAATGACCGAAGTTGCTGTGGGCCGGCACATTTCAGAAGTGGCCAGGCCAGCCGGGCCTGTGAGCCATAGAGCGCACGCTCCCCCCCCCCCCCCCCATCACTCCGCACAGCCAGGCTTTGCCTCCCACCCAGGCCCTTCCAGAGGCGGCTGTTTTAGCCCCAGGAGGTCACTGAATGTGAATGGGGATCAGAGCCCTTTCTGCACCTCCATTTCTGCTGAGATACATGAATTTGTCCGCTGATCCCTTCTCCCACTTCTCCCCACCCCACAGGATTAAGGAAGTAATTACTCTTCTGATGACAGAGGCTGTCAACGAGTCTGGGGTGGTGGTGGGGGCTGGGAAGTCCCTGACAGAGTGTGGCCAGCTGGCTCAAAGGGCTCTAGGGTCCTCAGTCCCACCTGCCCCCGGCTGGCGTCTACAGGGATTTCAGCCTCAGTGCCCAGGCAGGGGCCCTTGTAAGATCCATCAGCTGTTCAATCGCAGTATTAAGGAAGCTGTTGTTGCTGTGGGAACTGTGTGGGTGACAGCTGTGGAGTGAGGGAGGGAGATAAGGTCAAATAGGCGGGAGAGCCCTGGCTGGTGGTTCAGTGGTTAGAGTGTTGGCCCGTGCGCCGAAGGTTCTCAGATTCGATTCCCGGTCAAGAGCACGTACCCGGGTTGCAGGTTCGATTTCCAGCCCTGGTTGGGGCATGTGTAGGAGACAACCAATCAATGTGTCTCTCTCACATTGATGTTTCTCTCTCTCTCTCTTTCCCCCAGTTCCTCCCCCATCCCATTCTCTCTAAAAATCAATGAAAAAAATATCCTCCGGAGAGGGTTAACAAAACAACAACAGCCCTAGATGGTTTGGCTCAGTAGAGTGTCCGCCTGTGGACTGAAGGATCCCAGGTTTGATTCCAGTCAAGGGCAGGTTCGATCCCCAATAGGGGGCATGCAGGAGGTAACTGAAAAAGACTGCA